TATACCTTTGAGAGCTCAAGCAAATTTCGATGGTATTTGACCGGTTAGTCTCTGAAATACCAGCCGGTCCACGTACAAGTTTACGTCGGTTTTCTGCAAACCCCGTGTAACCTTATTCATATTTCTTGACAAATGCTATATGTACCGATATCACATTACAATTGAGACTAATTTTATTTGTATATATTTGACAGCGAACAACTCAGTTAATTACATCTCTTCAATTAATATTGTATTCACCTTTTGGTTTACCTGTCGTTGATGTATATTCGGTTGGCGTGTGTTGTTTCACATTTAAAATTTGTCCTGGTGCGAACTTAACAGACGCAAAGACCAATCACTAATTATTCGAACTTGTTATATACCCACGAATACGAGACCAAGGAAGAACACGATAGCGTAGTCGGATGGAATAGTATATTTGGATGGTTGTGCCAAGATACCGATGCTTTCCAACTAACTGGCTAGAGTCGAATGCGAGCAGCGCAACGTAACAAGACAGCCTGCAAAATGGAGGGGATGATTGACCGGGCGCCTTCGGCTTAGTGAGTTCAGTTAAACTACCAAGGTCAGCATCAATGTCGAATGTCGTCAAACCCTAGGCTACTGATTTTGGGGAAGTGTGTGACGCTGCGAAGATGAAGCCTATAATATTCTGGTCAAACAGAGGCGACATCTTCCCACGTTATCCGATTCGCGTTGAAACGCCCTTAGAATTAATACCGTTGCCCATACACACCATAGAAGGTCACTGAAATACTTGCCTCGCAAAATAATTTGACGTGTAATTTATCTTCAGATCAGCTTGCCGAAGATATCACATATCATCTTAAAAAATGTATATAACGTCATGGACGTGGATTACATTGACTTGCAGTTGAACATATATGGTGTTTCGCTATACAATAACTCCAGTCACCGACTTTGGTCTATTCTGGGAGTTATTTGTAGTCCTTTTATTATTGAGGCCTTCATGACAGTAAGCCAAGTAACACCCTTGCACACTTACGTGATGTCACGAGTGGATTTTCCAACTTACTGACTGGCTGCTTTGCTGAGAAGCAACGTATCGTAGAAGTCCAGCTGTTAGCAGTTGTGTTCGTTACTCCTACAGCGTCTACCACTAAAATGATGTCTGGATACATCTCAAGATGGGGTTGCTACAAGCGTAATATTACTTACCACTGCAGCGAAATCCTGGTGTTATTGCCCATCAGTGGCTATACCTTAGGAACCAACTCTTTATCCAGATGGCAGGAGAATACTGCATATCACAAGGGTCATTTGCCATTTGAAACGTTGTACATTGACAAAATTAAGTGTTTTCCGGTTGATTACAAGCATGTAGTGTACTTAGGTCTTATTAGAAAGGTGACCAATTTGAAGCACCAATTATTCTCTCAATGGAAGTTTACGTCTTCATTTAAATTGACAAAGACTGCTGACAACAATATATTAACCACTCAGTTGTACATCCTAAGCGATTTCCAGAGAAAATACCGACCGTTGTCGCTCAACAAGCAGTAAAAAGCTACAGAATGCTGGCTGCTTCTCTAGAACGATTGACCCGTTACTTTGAGATGTATTATGCCTGGATTTAAATTTAACAATTGTATGGAATTAACTTCTTTCATTTACCTGTTTTTCTGACATTATTCGGTTGCAGTTGAAGCATTTTGCTCGTATATATGGAGATGTAAGCTTGGTTTACGATCTTCATGGATTAACGTATGTCATTAAAGATATCAAAGTGCATTGTAACCTAGACTTCTATTCCACTTCCAGATCTGAGTCATTTTGGAGAGAATTAAAACGCTCCATCCAGAGGGCCCGACAAGCAGCTACGAGGTTTCTCGAACTGTTGTATAGTCTTGCACAGAAAATCGCACCTAAGAGGGAGACAGTTTGGGACATACTGAAGCAAATTTGCACCATACTTGAGACAATCATCTCTCATGCACTCGACAATGTCATTCTTATAAAATGACAACCTTTATGGTCACTGAAATATTTTTCAGACTTCCATCGTACATTAAGACCATACAACTCGAAGCCACTTTACACCAGTCCGTTGGAGTCATCAATAATTGGTGCTTTTGATGCCTCACACATACCATTTGATAAACATTCAGCATCAATGGGAGATATAGACTTCAAGTCTTAGTTGTATTGTGTCCTCTGAGCTGGGTTGTTCAATCGTGAAGTTTTCATCGTCTTTCTAGACAACATCATCAGCACTAACTTCAGTATGAAGTGAGCTGTCAGTGTCTGCGTGAGTGATTTAGTGGCCTGCTCTGACGACGTGGTCTGTGATTGGTTGTTTCCTTTGATTGTTGTGTCATTGACCATATAGGTTTTCCTGTTGGCTGTTCCTCTGAACTTTTTGTCGTTTAGCATTTTTCTTATCGGTTGATAGACCCAAACTGGGACGTATAAACGATAAAGTATGCAATGGTAACAAAATGAGATAGTTCTGTAAACCATCAATATATATTCCACGAAACTATTATTTTCCTCACCATAGGGAATTCAATGAATCATTTATTTTGTGCTTTTTGGCTATGATCATTATTATTTTCAGATGGAATCCAATAAGCATATGGTTGCACTTATGAGTAAACTAAAGCACTTTCGGCACAGCTAGTTCCAAATGGTTTGCGAAAGCGAATTATGTTTATTGATACTGGGTGATGATTGAAGGTGAGATCAAAATCTGGATCGCAGGGGGATTTAAACCAGCGAGTCACTGTATTCAAATTGCTAACTAACCAAATTTAGATAAGGAGGTTTGAGCGACGCTCATGCGCTCAAGGAAATTTGTTATCACATTGAACCTGCCTTAGTAAATTCGACTGTGAACCCAGGACCACTGTACTATTAAAGTATCTTTGTTACTCCGATTTTACGGTCACCCTCCACTACATTTCGTGTCTCATCTGACTTATGATTAGCTTTACCCGTATAACTTTCGCCGTCCAAGTGAATGCTTCATTTTCACTTTTTAGTGTTAAATGAGCCGTACAATATCTTAGGTAACTAAGTATTCTGAAATGAATACCAGTAATAACTGCTTATGACACAACTGCTCATATAAGACTATTCTGAAGAATTTCCCAACTATTTTGCATAATGTGGGTGTATAACTGGAGGACATGAGGAAGTTGTCGAAGGGAATATTTTTTGTTCATTCAGAAGGCTTTACTTTGACAACTATTAGTACACAGAGTTGAGTTGAATCCTACTAATAGCAACAACTGAGATAGGACAAGAATATCAACGATTCATTGCTAGTTTCTAGTAGTGTTTGAATTAGAACACGTCTATGTCGAAAATTTTGAAATGAAGACAGGGGTAAGACAAGGTTGCCTACTATCACCGATCATCTTCCTAATTGTGGTGGACCTGACGGGATCAACAAATGGTGAGGAACGAAAAGACAGGCGTACACTGGCTGCACCGATAAGAAGACCTTAGAAGATTTGGAGTCCCCTCAGGATGATTTATACCTAGTGTCGCACAAACTTGAAGATCTACAGCCAAAAGTCAACAAGTTGACAGAAGAGGCAAGGCAGCGAAAACGGGACTTCAAGTGAATATAGAGAAGACAGAGGTGATGAAGTTACCCAACCAAGACCATCACCAACAACAAGCACTAATCACCATCAACGGGAGAAATCTGAAGGATGTTATCTCTTTCACCTACGTAAGCAGCATCGTTTCAACTACAGGCGGCACACATGAGAACGTCAAAGTCAGGATCGGAAAGACAGCAAAACAGGCCTACATTAAAATGAAATCGGTGTGGAGATCTACTGGACTGCATTCAGCATAAAGAACAAGTCAGTGCTGCTATATGGTTCAGACTTGGCGGGGCGTTACGAAAGGGATTTCCAACAAACTGCACACATTCATCAACAGCCGCCGCCAACGCTCGATACTAAACAATGAAGATCAGATGGCCAGAATAATGAGAATAAGCAACAAGGAACTCTGGAACTCCGACAACGAACCGACCAACAACCTATCACGCAACAAATATGCAGAAGAAGGTGGAGATGGGTTGGGCATACACTGAGAAGGCCGACTGGGGACACCACGCGTCAGGTCAGACCCTCGAGTGGGACCCGCTTGGGAGACGACGAGTTAGGCGCCCGAGGGTGACGACATGGAGGAGATGGTGTGAGGAAATGAGAGCCTCTGGGCATTCGTGGAGCCAGGTTTAATAAGACTGCAGAGAACTGAGACGTGGAACTGAAGCGCCACGTTCCAGAGAGATAAATAATAACTCGTAATAATATATTGAAAATTGAACAGAACAAATTTAGGCGAGAAACTATACCTTTAATTACACTCTAGTTAAAAAGGTAGTTCCCAGTTCAACTGGAATCCTAGTTTATCTACAAGAAACAATTGGAACAAGACTAACTAATCAACAACGATATGCTAGTTAACATAGCGATATAAAAACAAGTATCATGTGCTACTTAATATAAACAGACTAGATATAAGTGAAGTTGGAAAATAGACATCTGAATGGTTAAATATTGAAATATCTATTTTACAAGTCTATAGTTCAAGGGTGCTGATAGGTAACAAAGCCAAACTGTTTGAATATCAAGATGAAAGTTTGTAAGTAGTAACACACACCAAGTATATTTTGAAGACAATACTAATAAACTGTAAGCAGACTAAGAGTAATCAGTTGGACACTATGTCAAACCTATTGAGAACGTAAGAGAATAGTAAGAAAGTGCAGCTGATTGATATTCAGTCAAATAATGCATAGAAATCCTGTACAGCATCACAAAGACATGCATAATAAATATAGGATAAGAGTAGGCATAATAAGATATAACTTTTCTTTTACCAATACAAATTAAAAACTAAATTTTAACGATCACGTTGTAGAAAATTGGCCGCAACATGTAGAAGTGCCTTCCTTGGTAATGAATCCCTGAAGTGAAATAAACAACGTTGAGCTGCTTGAAAATGGAATTCAGCTAACATTCGAGTTTGACCAACTCCATCCGACTGTAAAAGATTGACGGTAAAAAAAAAACAACCCCAAAAGTGTACACCTTGTATTGGAAAATGTATATAGATGATACTGAAAGTTAAGAATATCTCTCTTATCTTGAAGAGATCAATATTTCCAGTCTCTTTAGTCTACATCACTAATAGTTGCCTACACTTTGACTCGCCCTATTCATACGTTAAAATTACCATTATTTCAATGATATCATCTTTACCCGTACTGAATCTTCTTTGCTCTGTGATGGATTAGATTATTGTCGAATAAACCGACAAAAAACGACTATTTTAGATTCCACACTACTGATAATCTTACTATCTGGTGTGTTATGAAAATCAAAGCAACTTTAATACTATTCAAAGGAAAAGTTGAACTATTTCAGAAGATCCAAAGAAGAAAATATTCTCAGTAAGGTAGATAGTATCAGATTTTTCTACGGAGAAATCTACTTCTTTTATGACCAATCTATTAACCTACCAATAGCCAAAAAATGCAACACATTTTATGACAGAAGTGATTATTTATAGGCAAAACAGTGAAGTGAATGACTAGCTTTACCAGTAAAACTTAAGCGACATCATCATTCACAATGGTTACGTCGATTCTAACTGAAATCTTATCAATGTTTAACCCTGAACTGCTCATATTGCAAGTACATTAATTATGTATTATGAATAGGAACAATAATCTCCAAATATTTTTTCGTTCTCACTCAAAAAACATCCCAAAATCAATTTATTCTATACAGCATACATAATTCACCGTAGAATTCAATTAAGACAGCAATCATACAATGGTAGCTGGATGAAATATTGTCTTAGTTATCATCATCCATCAATATACGACCAGGTATTACTGCATAACGGTTCAAGTTGCCACACCTCATATCAGTACATCAAGTAGAAGGGTAGTAAAATGGAAGATGAAGAAAAGGAAATTCAGCCAAAAGAAATATAAAGTACGAAAAGAGAGGGAGGAAGAATGACAAAATGGTGAGATTCGGTATAGCATCGTTAGGATGAGGATAATGTATGTATACATCTGCGCCACTGACATCGGTTCTCAGCCATATCACCTAGATTCTCCAACCACTGGTTCCTCTTGTCCCGCGGACGACAACCATTTAGTCTGCATCGCCCCACATGGCTAAAGCCAACAGACTTCATACACTGATGCTCTGTCTTAGTCTGGCCACCTCGGGCCTTTTTCCAGCCTGGACCTACTTCGGCCAACATTGTGTGACGAGGCATACGTAGTACGTATCCCATCTCAGTCGATGAAGGTTCACAACCGTGTCAACTGATTTACCTCTTCTCCCTAAGACTCTAACACCTGCGTTACGTGGTGACACCACAGAATACGGCCTATACTACGAAGGCGACGGTGGTCAAACACCTGAAGCTTTCTCATGTTTCCCACCTTCAATGACTATGTTTTACAGACATACAATGGAACAGAGTGGACTGCTGTGCAGTACAAGCGACCTTTAATAGACAATCGGCGGCGCCACAGGTGGCAAAAGCTAGCCGATCCTTTTGTAGTTGTGCAGAAATTTTATTGGCCACTGAGCCACTAGGTCTGATCCTACTTCCAAAGTAAGTGAAGTGATCGATACACTCAGCCACTACACTCTTTAGTGTTAGCCGAGGCACCGTTGAAGACCAATCCTCGAGCAATAATTTGCATTTAGATGGTCAGAAACGCATCCCAAACATTCTCATATTGTCACTCAAAGTGTTCAGAAGACTCTGCATCTTGTCAGCGTCTTCACCTAACAAGAAAATTCTCTTAGAAATCAACATAACTAATAAATTAATGGTATCTAAAATTCCGAAACTGAACTTTGTATAGTGAATTTCCTGAATATAGAAAATTTGTTTCGTTTCATAACAACGCATACTATTTGGTAGAATTCAATCAAACTACATCTTTAACTTAGTTGCTTTGTTACAAAAAGCTAGTCTAAGATTCACACGCTCATCACTTAATGATGGTGTTAATAGTAAATTATACGTATCACACAATCTGATCTAGATGTTGGGTAGTTTCTGAAACAAAACAACGTTGTTATTTGATGATACAAAGAAAACTAAATATATGCAAAAGTGTACTGAAGCCTTTTACCAAACATAATAGAAAAGTGACTACAGATTGTGAAGAATACAAGTCTTTATACCAACCAAGTGAAGGATACCTACAACGATCGATTGTATCTCAAAAGAATCAAACTGTGCTGCTACGAAATTTTCTATCTCATAAGTAGGAATTACTAGTCTCATACATTTATTTGACTGTATCACCATATGAACATTTGTGTATCCCTGAATTACTCAGATTTCTGGAAGGTCACAATGGCAGAGAAAATCTGGACAAACAATTAAATCTCAGAGACCAATTCACCTATTTACTCTAAAAGCAATATATTCACAACAAGGCTATAAGACAGACTTCTTCAGTCCAACATTAGACAGGGAATTACCTCCTTGATAATGCTGCATACTTCAATGTGAATACTATGTAAAATTCATTGCCATTGGCCTACAGTTCTTTAAATGCTTATTTCTTTGCACCATAACATCTAATTCTAATAGCTTAAGTCTATATTGCTATTAATGGTACCACTTAAAGAGTGGGAAATGCTTGAATATAGGTATTCACTCGGATTATATGATTATGTAGAAACTTACTGATTCCTGAAATCATCATTATGGGCTATAAACATGAGAATTTATGGCAAAATAGACGTTTATCTGGCGTAACATGGCACTATGAAGACGAGTCAAACATGTCGACTGTTTGTAACGCAAACTTGGAATGCTGCGCGACCTTGATGTCACCTATGGTGAAAAATATGAGTGAGAACGATCTGAACTCTAACACTGTGTATATACTGAAAAGTGATATTTTCTTGTTAATTTCATAACTAGCAGACTGTTTTGGTGTTATGATAGGGTTTAATGGCCTACCTTCTGTACTATTCAGGACCGCTAAAATCTTGTAGACTTTTCAACAAATATCAATATGATGATACCTGTAAATTGACTTCTCTCATGTTAAACTCATAATGAGAGAATAAAGCATTTTTGAGATGAATGGAAATTTTAATTTAGAGGTAGTATTCATTACGGTAGTGAGTTCGATCCTTGGCAGGATGCGTACTGCTAAGGAGTCCCATACTATGACAAAACAGCTATCCACTGCTCTCAGGTTTTCAATAGTCACCGAATTGGTGTCAGCCCATGATGAGTACCACCACTAAATACAATATTTACTCATCATTCATTTAAGTAGTACCAACTTATCTCAACAATGAGAGACAGTGATTGCAAAACTGGAGAACACTAAAATATCACAAGTTTTTGGATACTGGTATTTTACTAGAAATATCACACAGTGAAACAGTATTATTAAAGCAAACTAATCTAGTTGACCAAATCGCTTGCAACGATTGCGAGGTCTAATGCATAGGTTAAAGTAGTCGAGAATAGGCTAACTAAGCCATCTGAACACGAAAACTTATCTAAGACGAAATTCTTTCATTCTCGCCTGGTTAACCAGTTCACTAGCCGGTCCTAAGTCCGGGTAAAGAGGGAAGGTTGGGCATACGGCTAGCAACTCTACCCCGGAAAACAAGTTCAACCACTGAAGAAACCTCAAGGCACAAACAAAATATAAAAAATAAAAACAAAATTATTCCTCGCTCCAATCGGAGAGGCGAAATGACGACTGTTGGTGAAAGCCTGACTTCGGGAAGCCAATTGGCCGATGTGTCTTCTCTCCCTCCATGAAAGCGAAAGTAAGCATGGGGACATGGAATGTCCGCATCATGTTTGAACCCAGCAAGGCAGCCCACATTGCAAACGAGATGAACAGGTATCACATTGAAGTGCTGGCAATTTGCGAAAGCAGATGGAATGGATGTGGACTCTCCAAACTGTCAACTGGAAAATCAATAATCTACTCCACGATTGTCACCCAGACGACACGACAACCACGAGCACACTGAGTTCTCGAGTGGCTATCATGATGTCCCCCTCCCAAGAGCATCGAAGGCTCTCTCTCATTCAGTGGGAACCAATCTCCTCCAGAATCAGGATCATGACAGCAAGGTTCAACTCAAAAGGAAGGAAGGTCACAATCACACAATGCTAATCTACGTTTGCAGAATTCTATGCATTCAAAGATTTGGTGATTGGAGGCACTGTGTTCAAGCACAAGGATATCCACAAAGCGACATGGATTTCACCAGACACCAGGATACACTAAAAATCAGATCGACTTTATCTCAATCTCAAGAAAGTGCAGACGCCGTCTACTTGACACAAGGTCAAGAAGAGGAGCAGATGTAGGCTTACACCACTCACTATCTAGTGCAAGGAACCTTCAAAACCAAGTTAAGAGCCTTCAAGAAAGCTGGTGATAGACCACAGTTCAAGTACAACACTCGAAAACTGAAGGATGAAACTACAAAGGAAATCTTCACGGCAGCCATCAAGACAAAATGGAAGATGTAGAGGAACATCCCTGAAGAAACCTGTGTGGAAGAACACTGGAAGTCTCTGAAAGAGATGTGGAAAGAAACCTGCACAGCCGTATTAGGAAGGAAGAAAAAAGAAGACGAGGAATGGATCTCGATGGACACATGGAAGCTGATAGAGCAGGGAGAGGAGGTTGGTGATAGTGAAGCAGAAGACAAGCCAGTGAAGTGCAGGGATGAACAACGAGAAGAGGAACTGAGTACAATGTATAAAACAATGTACAAAACACTACACCGGAGAGAGAAGTGAAGAAGGGTGCACACAAAGACAAAAGACACTTCTACGAAACACTGGCAAGCGAAGCAGAATAGGCTGCAGGTAAGACAGACCTGACGACATTGTATCAAATAACCAGGTTGCTATCTGGGAAGAGATCAACTCAGATGAAACCAATTAAGGATGATGAAGGGAATTTAATTACCGAAGAAGAGAAACAAAGGAAACGATGGGCCGACCACTTC